AGTTTTTTTTTTTTTTTTTTTTGTGATTGGCCTGACCACAGCTCACCCTGACTTCCAGGATCACTGATGCCAACAGGAAGCTCCCACTGATAAATTGCTTTCTCGGTACAGGAACTCTGCTGAACACTTACACAAAACAGTCTGCTACTGAGGAACTGAGGAAAGACACACAGGCAGGAGCCAGGATTCCAAACCAGGCCTACTGACTTTGGAGCCATCTGCTTTCTAATGCAGTTTTCTCCTCCGTTAGCTCCTCTTGCCCCTTCCCGCGCAGGCCCTGGGCCCAAAGCTGCCCCCCGCATCACTGTCTTCTGAAGGCGGAGGCCAAAAGGGATCCCTGCGGCCACAGTTCAGAGCCAGCCTTGTCGGGGCATTTCCAGAACTTACAGCTGCTTCGGGCAGGGCTCCTCCAGGCCTGCACTACCTCTCTTGCTGCTGCCACAGAACCAATGAGATGGCATTCACGTTAGGAGATGGACACAAAACCTCAAGGGTCAGACAAGCCAGCCCCCTGTGCTGTGCAGTCACAAATTTGAGTTAAATACCCATCTTGCGCAGACGCTATGCGAGGCACTGGAGACCCCTCTCCCCGAAATGGCTCACATTCCAAGCGGGAGAGCGACCGCTGGACTCATCACTTCACAACAGTGCTAAACACAATAAAGGAAAACACAGCTGTGGAGGCGCAGAAAGAGGCTGCTGATAATGGTCAGGAAAGCCTGAGGTGGACCAGAACAGCACAAGGGAGGCAGCTGGAGACCTGCAGGGCAAGCACTTCCAGCTGAGGGGTGAAGAGTGCCACGGCTGAGCTGCAGAGGAAACAGCCATGAGGCCCACTCCATCTCCAACAGTTAGGGAAAGCAAGGGCCAGAAGGCGCAGGATGCTGGAGAGTGAGCACGGGATGCTGGGTGCTGCTTTAGCAATGCGACGCCAGTGGAGGGCTGAGTACGTGCGTGCTTTCAGGGGTCAGGTGGGGCCGACTCACGCTACTCACATCCTAAAGGGTCCCTCTGGCTGCTGTGTGAAGCCTGACACACCCTGGGCTACAGTCTCAGTCTCTGCCTTGCTCCGTCCCCAGCCGCGCCTCACCTGTACAGACTGAGGTCTGTGAACCAGTCCTGGACGACAATCACCACGTGGCAGACCGTGAAGAGGAAGGCAGCAATCTGCAGTGACTGTGGGGGACAGGCGGGTGCAGAGTTGAGGGTCTCCCTGTCTAGACTGGGATTCTGGATGGCAGGACTTGGCTGAGGGACACAGAGTAAGGGCCCATGAGCCTCTAGGCAGTGTCTGTCTGCTGAGGGCTGCACTGGCCCTTCCATCACAGGGCCACCCTGGACACGGCGAGGCAGGGCCAGGAGCTGGGCCACGTTGGACTCTCAGTGCCGCTCTCTTCCCACAGCCCTGGGGGCTGCTAGGGCTGTCCTACAGCGGAAATGACGTCACTGACCAAGTCCAGCTCCCCATCCCAGATCAGCTCCCTCACCTGCATCTCGACGTAGGTGTGGGGAAGGTTGTACTCAGGAGGCAGCTTGCGGTCATTGTTGATGAGATGGTCCAAGATGGAAGGGCTCAGGATGGGCTGCAGCCAGAAAGAGAAGCCAGCGTGAGGGAAGGGGCTGCTATGGCTGCCCAAGTGCCACAAGGTGAAGGCAAACGCACTTCTCTCAGTATGAAACAAGGGCAGGCATAAGCAGGTGACTTCTAATTAGTACTGTGCTAGTCAGCGAGCAGCTGAAGAAAATAATTTCAAAGCAATACACTTTCCCCAGCTCTTTTACAAATCACCACTCTCCAGCACCGTGAGCCCGAAGAGAAGAAATCTCCTAGTGCTAATAAATCTAACATTTACTTGAATGAGTCACATCCCTTAAAGACTCTTTTTGTTATTTGTTGTTTCATATGCTTTCAGAACTGTGCTAATTACTTAGGAAAAAAATGATTAGTGTGAAACTTGGTGAGGATTTAAAAATCACATCAGTGCATATAAAGAATCAGCTCATGCTCCAAACTTTTCTTAAAGGGACACGCCACTGAAAGACGGTAAGAGCGGAATTAGCTGACAGTCTTACGACTCTGCGGCAGAGTAGAATTCCTTGGTGGGGCTTTCGTGAGTGCTCACTGTCGAACTCCAGACACGGTGAGCACAGCTCTTGTCTCAGAACCTTCCTGTCCCCTCCCGGGCCTCTGACCCAGCCCCTCAGCCACGTCCCTGGGGTCGGCACAGGGTTCACCTCACATTCTAGGTTTTCCATACTCTGTGTCGTCAACGAGAAGGGACCAGAACCCTGAACCTCCAAGGACACTAAGACCTGAAGGCCTGCCGGGTGCGCACGCGGTGCGTCACTGCTGCGATGGGAGACACAGTGGGCAACGTGGGCGTCAGGGAAGAGAAGGCCGCCCCAGAGGCCGCAGCCCTGGAGTCCTGGGGGAGAAGGCATTAGCCAGGCAGAGAGGAGACTACTCCTGTAATAACCACGCTACCTGCTAAGAGTGGCTAGCACCTAATTAGGCTGGACACTGTTGCCAGGACCTCACTTAGATGACTCTGCACAAAGACCCCAGGAGGTAGGCAGGCAATTTCATTCTCCAGGTAAGAGAACGATGGATATAAACGTAAACAAGCTGTCCAAGGTCACAGTTCATCAGTGGTTTTAGGGAGAGAGAAGAGGACGTGCAGTCAGAGAGGAGAGAGCCATGGTGAGGGAATCCGCGGGGAGTAGGGTCTGGGCCCAGTCACAGAGGGAGTCAACGTGGTGCCAAGCTGAGCACCTGGTCCCGGCCTGAGAACAGCAAGAAGCGAGGAAAGCAGGATGGGTCAGCAAGAAGCCAGCCTCACGCCTGGTCCTAGCCAAGCACTGTGCCCGGGCTGTTCCACCGCATCTTCAAACCCCTAGGAGATAGTCATCCTCATGTACACATGAAAAACTGAGACTTAAGGGAGTTAAAGCTTAAAGTAACTCAGCTGCTAAGTATTAATGGGCAGGATGTAGACAGCCCGACCCTAGGGCCCAAAATTTAAAGGACTCCACCAAAAGGTCCTTCAGGCTGCAGCGTGCAGAGTGAATGGAAGACGGACAAAATCCATCAGGAAGAGCTGAAGGACCAAGAGCAACAGCCACCCCAGGTCACCCAGGAAGAGCCTGGGTCCATTAGGGTCCTGTCTTACAAACCCTCCCGGCGGGCTGGCTATGGCATGCAGTGGGTAAGGCGAGTGGGGGGCGGGTACCTGCGTGTCCAGGAAAACAATCCGCTCTTGGGTAATAAAGAAGTCGATGCCACTGGTCTGGTTGCCCCCTCGTTCCTTCATTTCTGCACTCTGCGCCCGGAAAACATATGCCCTGTGGAGAGGAACAGATGCAGTGCATGGAGCTCTATTCCCTGGTCTTTGAGGCCTCCTGGGTGCATACAAAGGAGTCGTGGGCATTGCCCACTGGTTCAGCTTCCACCTGCTGCCCACACCTTGCGGGCTGCGTTTCGTCCCACAGGTTCCACTCCTACCCACACTCAGGCTGTCAGCTCGGCCACTGAAGCCAGTAGACAGAAGTGTTTGGGAGCAGAGGCTCTGCTGGCTGCCAGGGTCCCGGTCTCGGCTCTGCCTCCTCCTGGCTAGGTGGCAGTGAGCAAAGTCAACCCCTCAACCTTGGTCCCCACAGTTTCCTCAACTGCAAAATGGAGATAACTATACCACCCAAACTTTTGGACTCCTGTAAGGTTAATCCAGGCAAAGCCCTCAGAGTAATGCTGAGTGTACAGGGCTGTACGCTCCCTAGAGGTTAGTTCCTAAGTGCTCCTGCTACGCATCAGGCACTGGGACACAGCACTGAATGCCCTACACTTGCATGGTGAAAGTCTGATCTTACTGTCCAGTTCTGGGGGAGAAGGCCAGCTCCCTTCATTCCCACCTGCGCCAAGTGCTGGGGACATGAAAGCAAAGTAGGCAGAGCCAGGCCTTGCCGTAGGCCACTGAGTCAGCTCTGGGACTCAGATGGTGACTTTACCTCTCTCCATCTGGAAAATCAGAGCAGTACCTGCCCGTCAAAGGTAACTTCTGTGGGCATCTGCCCACCTAGCAAACACTGTATACATCTCTCTGCTAGACACCCGGACAGAGCAGACAAGGCCTGCTTCTGTGGGGCTTCTGGTCTGACTTAAAAATCAACAGAAAGGGTGGGAGATTTAGCTCAGTGGCTCTGTTGCCTGCCTTGAAAGCACAAGGTCCTGAGTTCCACACCCGGTACCAAAAAAACCCCAAATCGACAGAAATCAGTAACAACATATTAGAAGGAAGAGGCCTGTGGCATTCTGAGCAGAGATAAGGTAGTTTGTGGAGCTAGGAAGGTCAATCCCAAAGGGAAAAACAATGCCGCAGGCAAGAAAGTGGGAGGTCATTATGGGGTGTGTGTGTCTGAGGGGAATTGAGGCAGAGGACTATGCTAAGCAAAAGAAAGAAGGTCAGCACAAGGACCAGCATGGGCAAGAGCAGAAAGAACAGGCCCGTCGGAGGGAAGGGGCAGGCAGTGAGGGGAGGCCACACAGGCCATCTCCAGGCATGGTCAAAACTGGGGCCTGGAAAAGCCTGATACTGCAGAAGGGCTGGCGGAACAGCTTCTGGTTTGAAAAGCCCTTCTTGCTGCTGTGACAAGGACTGCGGGAGGGAGAGAACGGGGAACAGCTCACAAGGCCCAGTGCCGCTACTGCCACCTCTCTGACCTCACCTCCTCCCTTGACTCTAGTGAATTTCTTGTGTGAGGAGCTAGGGAGCAAACACAGGGCTTTGCACACAGGAGGCAAACATCGTACCACCGAGCCATGGACCCCGCTTCTGCTCCTCAGCTGCCACACTGCTGCCCAGCAGTTCCAGCCAGGTTTGGCCCGTGGCCTCCCGCTCCCTGGAATGGTCCACCTCCTCCAAGTCAGTTTTTCGTCCAGGCCTTTCCTGACCACCCTGTACAAAAGTGTGACCCAGGCCCAACACCACTTCCCTAAAGCTTGCTCCCTTTTATTTCCGTCTTCTAATGAGCTAAATAAAGAGCTGGTTTTGTTTAAGTCTCCCCTATTACAAACATAAGCCCCCTAAAAAAAAACCCATGAGGACATGTTTTTGTTAGTTTGTATATTGTTGTGCCCTGGCACCACGAACGGTGCCTGACACATAGTAAGCATTCAATAAATTCTTCAATTAAACTAACACAGAGACTACATAGGAGGCTCCTAGCATTCAATAAGGCTTGGACCAAGGAGCAGGGAATGAAGGAAGGGAGAAAGAAATGAATTATGAAGAAGAAGTACAAAAGGAGACCGATGAAGAGTCACTACCAAAGTCCACCACACTGCAGGCTGATGGGTCAAAACCACAAGCTGGCGACCCGGTGTGGTGGTGCACACCTGTAATCCCAGCACTCAGGAGGCTGAGGCAGGAGGATGGCTGTGAGTTCAAGGCCACCCTGAATTATGTAGCAAGACCTTGCCTCAAAATACAATAAAATAACACAGCCTGGGTCAAAGGCATTCTCTGGCTCAGGAATCTGAACTGAGAGCCATGAAGAAATTTTGTAGTTGGGGCCGGGAGCCGAAATGGAAAGAAAGCTGTGCGAGCCCCGGAGCTGATCCAGAGTGGAGTCCAGCTGAGCTCAAGTCAGTGAGCAGAGAGGAGGAGGCACAGAGCCAAGCTGGGAGAAGGACACAGGAACCCATGGCTCAGCCCCAGAGGACGCACATTCTTACGACAGTGGTTCCCATTTCTGGGTCTCCAATAACTCCGAGACCTGCTGAAAACTGGACTCTTCCCACAGATGAAAAGCCCGGTGCAGATGTGCAGAAGCTTCTGAACACACTGTCAGGGGTTAGCCATGATTAAGTCTCCCTTCCTTACTGCCCCAAGTGGCTGCTTCCCCTCCTCATCCCAGATTGTCTTCCTTAATTAGACTGTGTATCTCCCCTACTCCCTAATCCTTTCCTTTCTTTCTTCCTTCCCTTTTCTATCCCCAGTTTCAGGTCCTATTTCTTTCTTTCTCCTGGCCTTGAAATATATAGCCTAGGCTGGCCTTGAACTCATGGCAATCCTCCTGTCTCAGCCTCCCCAGCGCTGGGAGTGCAGATGTTCAACATCATGCCTGGCTACAGATTTTATTTCTTAAGTTCTTCCCTTCCCCAAATTCACTTCTGATTTTACAATTACACTCCATCCTTACTGAAGCATATTGTTTAGGCCAGGGAATCCTCATGCCCCATCCTCTCCAGGCCAGAGAGGTGGAGCCATTTTCCCAAGGTAACACAGGACTGAAGCTGTGGACCCCGCCCTTTAACCAGTTCTTTCCCACTGTACTTCCCAGACCCTGTCAGCCATCTTCCCATGAGCACTCAGGCGCTACTGCAAGTGCCTATGAACTTGCTCCCTCTTCATCTTGCCTTATCCTCTCAAAATCCCCGTTATGGTTTGTGTCTAGATGGCCCCCAAAGCCTCAAGTGGTCAAGGGCATTTTCAGAGGTGGCTGCATCTAGAGCGTGTGATGCTGGGATTAAGGGTGTGACTACTAAATTAGCCCACTGATTGGTTCGGCACCTGCCCTAATCCTGCTAGTTTGGATAAAAGGGGCAGAAAAACACTGTCAAGATCCCTCGTTGCTTTTGCTACCGAGTGGGTGCCATGAACTGTTTCTCCTCTGTGATGACCCTCTGCCGAGCCACCCTGCCTTGGAGCAAACTGACTATGGACTGAAACCTTTACAAACTGTGACCTAAATGCACCCTTTCCCCCTATAACTTGGCGAGTTGCGTATTTTGTCTCAGTGATGAGAGAAAAGTAACCAAGATATCCCCTGAAATGTCCTGGCCGAGGGCAAGCAGCTGGTAATAGGACTGAGCCTGAGGGGCCTGAATCCAAAGCCTGAATGACTTTATTATCCAGCTTCCATACTGGGGCAAGGCAGGAAGGGAAGGAAAAAGGACAGAGAGGTCGCCTTGGAGCCACACATAGTCCAGTTCATCATCCTCGTCACCCAATAAAGCCACTCAGACCTAGGGAAGGGACAGAACTTCCTGAAGTCCTTTGGTAATGCCACTTATAACACCCAGGTCCACCCTGCCCCTGCCCCAGCTGGGCACCCATATCCCTTCTGGCCTCTTGCACCCCTACCTGATGCCGCCTTACCTCTGGTCTTCCTCGGGAGTGTTGGCTGACAACAATGACATCACCATGGACTTGCCTGTCCCCTGGAGGCCCAGGACACCAACCACCAACACATCAGTCTGATCCAACAGGTACTGTGGGAAGAGGTAGGAATATGAGCTTAAAATCTGTCAGTGATGTAAGAGGGGGACCCCAGAGACCTCTGTGGCTGGCACAATAGCTAATCCACTCGTATGGGCAAAGGGCCTCTCTCCGGTGTCATAGTGGGGTTTTGTGGAACGTTCTGAGTGCCAAGAGCAGCATCTGTAAGAACTGTAGAAAAGAGCCCGGTATGGTCAATAAAGTATAAGAAGCCAGGCATGGTGACACACGCCTGTGATCCCAGCACTTGGGAGGCTCAGGCAGGATCATCATGAGTTCGAGGCCAGCCTGGGCTACAGAATGAGTTCAAGGACAGCCTGAACTGCACAGCAAGATCTGGTCTCAAACAAACAAACAAACAAAAAAGAAAAAAAAGAAACAAAAGTTTAAGTCAAAGTGGTTGGAACACAGTGGGGAAGAGGAGGCTGCTCTCGGGGAAGGGAGTGTGAGGCCCAGGAACAGAGAAGACAAGATGCCATATCTAAGGGCTACCGGAGCAGCCTCCTGCTTCTAGCAAGCTGGGAACGCAAGGGAACACATGACAAAGGTCGTCACACGCACAGGAGAGATCAGAACAACCGAGGTTCCCATCTGTGGGATTTAAAGAGTCCTTAGGGAGATTCCAGAGACCTCTACAACAGCGCTAGCAGCACTGCTGACTTTTGCCACCAGGGGGCATAAGACACTTCTTAGAGCAAACAGCTCTGCCTTAAACAGCTGTGCCTCAGAACTACCAGAGAAGCTTAAAAGCCTTGGGCCAAGCAAGATATGATGAAGTTTAAAACTTTAAAACAGAAGAGCATCAGTCACATGTGTCATGTGGCTATTTACATGAACCAAAGATACAATTTCAAATTTTGTTCCTTAGTTGTTTAGTTGGACCAGCCTTTTGAGTGATTTGAGAGCAGTAACCGCCATACAGGATGGCAGAGTGCATACAGAGGTGGCAGGGACCAGGTACCACATGGGCCCAGCTGTTGTCCTACATTCAGGCTGCTGGGGGAGGAGAGGGGGGACTTGAGCAGGAGTGTGACATGACAGGCGTGGGACAGGTGAGGTCTGAACCAGAGCAGAGGCTGCCGGGACCAGGGACCTCCAGTTAACACCGAGACAGCATGGGAGGGTGCAGGAGACCCCGGCCACTCAGGGCGGCAGTGAGGGTTTCTTCTCACAAAGCAGCCTCTGTGTATTTCAGGATTTTAACATGAGATGGAGCTGAGCTAGCTGAAAGTCAGCCCTGGGTAGGTGAGAGCATTCGGACTCCACCCTCACCGCTGCAGCCGCCCGAGTGTGGTCCAGTGTGGCAGTGCCTACTGAGAGCTGGAGGCAGGGTGAGGATGGGGGCCTGGGCTGCAGCGAAGCTCAGGAAGGGGGACCCGGTACCTCAATGGCGCTGTCGCACCAATTCATCTGGTCATCCACCAACTTGATGCTGTGCTTCATGCGCTCTGGGGGCAGCAGTTTGGCCTGGCCCACAACAGCTGGAAAGGAGCAAGGGGGAGACAGAGGATGCGGTGAGGGTCTGGGAACACGGGTGCCACTCCCAAGCCCAGCCCGCCCAGCCCCAACTCACGGTCCATCGCTGTGGGCGCAGCAGTGCCCATGCCCCTGTTCTGGATCTGGTACACGGGCTGCGTGGGTCTCTGCCCTTCCTTCTCGCCCTTGGGTGGTGCAGGGGCTGCAGGGGGTGGTGGGGCAGTGCCCTCAGGGGTAGAAGCTCCTGTCCCGGCCCCTGGGCCCTTCCCCTCCTCCCGTGGCTTCATGAGGACGATGGGCTTCTCCAGAGGGGCTGGAGCTGGCGGCGCAGCAGGGGCAGCTGGTGGCAGTGGCTGCTTAGACTATGGGAGTAAGAAGGTTTCAGCCACTGGAGGAGGCCCCTCCCGGCCGCCCACCCCCCAACTCACCCGCTCCGCCGGAGGTTTCGAGAGGATGATGGGGGTTTTCTGCATGACCGACGTGCTGGTCTCTTCACTGCCATCCTGGGAGGAGGGAGACAGTTACTCAGGATGTGTCCCTGGTGCTCCTGGACACTGCAGACGGTCTCGTGTGCCAGGTGCTGCTTTGAAAGCCTCCATGTTATCCCCTCAACTTTACAACCACCCTGGAGACTCCCATTTACCCCCAATCCACCAGAGGCACACAGAGGTTAAGTGGCTTGCTCAGTTAATAAGTAACGGAGCCGGGGTCCAAACCCAGGGAGCCTGGCTCCAGAATCATGACCTGGACCATTCTGATCAGCTGTGCTCTAGACAGGTCCAGGTAGACAAGAGCTGGGGCTCTGGGGCTAGACAGATCTAGGTTCAAACCTGGCCCTGCCTCTTGCTGGCTGGGTGGAACCGCCTCACTGATGCCTTGGATTCCTCCTCTGGTGAGCAGAGACAGGAGCTCTGGTCCAGGTTACCCCAGGGACTCTGCAGATACGGTCCTCACTGTCTAGAATGCTTGTCAACTCAGATTTGGACGTGGCTTCTTCCCTCATCTCCTTCCGTCTCTGTTCAAACGTCACTGGCTCTTCGCGCTGTGCTGTCTAAAGCAGCCCCTTTTCCCTTTTCCACCTTCTTACTCCACAGGGGCCATCTGGTTTAGAGATCAAACCTCAGCACCTGGATCGAAGCCTGGCACGTGGCAGGTGCTCAAGCAACACCACGGGACACAGAGATACAGGCACGCTGCTCCGGGATCCACTCACCCGTCTTTCTCTCTCCCATGGTGCAATGTAGTCCCTCTCCCGACCGCCGGGCCCAGACAGATTCTGGGGGCCACCAGTGCCAGGCTCCTTCCACCGCCGGCGCCGCTCCATCCCGTAAAGCCCAGGCTGGCTGTGCCCCGACTCGGACATGGCGGCCTGCGGGAGGGATGAGGAATTTCAGGTGGAGAGAGTCTCTTCCCTCTGCGACTGCCTTCCTGGAGACCACATGAAGGCCCTGCCCTCCAAAAGAGCTCTGTGGCTGGGCGGCAGCTGCCGATGGGCTTTCTCTGGCCACTGTTTACTCCTTTCAAAAGAGTAAAACCCAGGGCCGTGGATTTAGCTCAGAGGTTCCACCACCTGCCTTGCAAGCACAAGGACTCAAGTTTGATCCCTGGTACCAAAAAAACCCAAAGGAGAAAAACCCAGTTCTGTGCTCCATAGCTGTCCCGAACACATTTCTCAGGTGTGTTTGCAATTAGGTGAGGCCCCATGACTAAGTGCTTCCTGGATCATGCTACATTAGAAGTGTGGTTTGGCAGCTTTCAGAGACCTTCCTTTATAGAAGCTGGCATGTGTCTTCTGCTTCTTCCTTTTCCTGGCTGGAAGGAACGTGGGTGTGGAGGCTGGAGTTCAGGGAGTCATCTTGGGCTACACAGCAACTTTAATGGACGGCATGGTATAACAAGACAGAAGGCTCAGCAGCCCCATATTAACCTCTGGAGGCAGTGAGAAACAAATATATTTCTCCTTCTTGTCACCAAAACTTTTTTTTTTAAACCAAAACTATTTAACTACTGAAATGCTCCAACAGTGACACAATTCATAGGGCAGATTCACATAAAAATGGGATATTCTCCCTCCCCAAATGCAGCAAGTCCTTTCCTTACATATCTGTAATAGGCTCCCCAGACTGAACACTACAGGCCTAATGTAACCTGGTACCCTCTACATTTCAGTCTGTTTACCTTCTACCCTGATGGTCTGCCACCCTCCCTCCAAAGTTCACTTCATTTCGAGGTCTCACGGGCAGGACCCACTCTCTGCCATTTACGCACTGGTTTACAGGTCCCTCGGTAAAGTTTCTAGAGTTTCATTCTAAGGAGGTCTTCTGAGTACCTAACTAGAACGGGGCTATCTGCCCCAGCTCAGAGGTCAGGCTGGCAACTGGTCTGTCTCCTGTTTTTCTAAACACAAGGTTTCGCTGGAGCACAGCCACATCCATCAATTTACAAAATGTCTACGGCCGCCTTCTTGATACAATGGCAGAGGTGAGTAGTTGACACAGGGGCGATGTGTTATGCAGAGCTTAAAACAACTCCTCTCTGGTCCTTTACAGAAAGTCTGCTCAGCCCTGCTTAGCTCTTAAGAACCTGTTAAATCCTATGAATCCTTCCCTGTCCCACCTCAGGTAGTGACATAAACAGGGCCCAGTGACAGATGCTCCAGAACTAACATAACTGTTTACAGGATGCAGGAACAACTTTGCTAGCTAGACAGGGGCTTACCTGGCCCCTCTCGCTGCTCTAAGTGACCTGTCCCAAGCCACAAACCAGGATGAAGATGGCCTTCCTAGACAAAGGAGGACAAGGGCCTGTTTACGGAAAATGATTCATTCAGGACTTAAATGATTGTTTACAGTCTCCAAAGGACATCTTCTCAGAAACTGGGACTCTTTCCTCCCCTGCAATTAAGTGTCTGTTTCCACATTATTCTGGAAACCTCCCCAGTACTTAAGTGTCTGTCTTTATCCCCACTGGAGACTGTGCCCCAGGACCAGTGTCTGTTCACGTACCTAAGAGGATGTCTTTCCAGGGAAGTTAAGTGTCTGCCTGCAGTTATTCTGGGCACATTCACAATATTTTGAATCTACTTAACACTGGGGGAGCACCCATCTTTATGCAATCTGAGGACCCCAGTGTGGTTTCCAGGCTCCAGGATCCCCCAAACTCAGCCAGCCTACTTAAGTTTCTATGCACTGGGCTCCTATGGTGGCCTCCCTGGGACATTCTAATTTTACTTATTCTTTGGCGGAGGAGTTCCCTCAGTACTTAAGACATCTCTTCACACACTCCCCTTTGAGAACCTTCCAGAATCAAAGCAGCTATTTGCAAATTATTCAGTTAGCTCCCAATTTCCAACTGTGTTTCCATACATCCTCTTGGCACACCTGGCACCCTAGAGTTTCACAACAATCTATTCACACCTTCTTCTAAGGGCTCTTTAGGATATCAACATATATTTGCAGGCTCAGTTTACAAAGCCTCCCCTGGGGAACCCCATAACTCAAGCTTCCGTACTTGGAGGGCCGCCTAGAATCTGCGTGGAAGTTAAGCTTCTCTTCACATTTTTGCAGGGACGGTCTCAGTCCTTTTAGGGCAGGTTCTGCCTCTTAGGAACTCCCAGGAGTGGTTTCTATTTATCCATTATTTGCCGCCCCCGTCCCGACTCACCAACCTGGCATTCAAGCCACTGCCCCGACTCCCTACCCAGCCTGAACACCCGCCAGAGTCCCTCTGACCCTAGGACTGTCTCAGAAGGAGCGGAACTCGCGGCGCGCTCCGCCTCCCCAAGCCCCGCCCCCACCAGTGCGCGTACTTCACGCGGGCTCGCGGGTGCTTTACCTAAAGCGATTGCTGATTGGCTCCTGGGGCGCGACGCGCACTCTCCGGTGACAGGACGAGGTGGGGGGAAGGGAGGTTCCAAAACAAGCCACTTGCCAGTAAATGGCGTCTGGGAATCTAGGGTGTGAGAAAGACAGGGAAAAAGGACACTGGCCACTTCAGAACTGGCCTGGGCGTCCCGGAAGAGGCACCTAAAGGAAGGCCAGCCTCAAAAAGGAAGAAGAGGAAGAGGAGGTACCGCGCGGGCAGGCCGAAATCAGGTTTCGCCGGCTTCTGGCCTTGCGCATGCGCCACGGGCTAGGCCAGCCAGTGGGTCAGGCTGAGCATGCGTTGATGGATGTGTTCGGCTTTAGCACGCATGCGAATTACGGAGCGGCGGCGGGAGCGCGCCGCCAATGAAAATGCGCGTGCGCGTCAAGGCCAGTGTGGGGAGGTGCGAGAAAGCGGGACTGGGGGGAGGTGGTAGCTGCAGATTTCGAGTTCGAGGCCCGCCTCTGCAGTGATAGTGGCTGGGTACGGTGGGCTGGAGGAGCAGGGAAGAGTTTCAGTGTCCTGTGCTGACTGTTGGTTCGGGAATTATTTAGACCTAGTGTTTTCTGGAAAGGATCCGGGTCTGTGGAGGGAAACGGCGAGGGGCTCACATCACTTAGGAAAGGGTGCGAGGTCGGGCAGGCAAAACGTCGGGCTGAGCAAAGGCAGCGAGGGATCCTGGGGAACCGAGGGGCTCCCCCATTCCGGGGGTGCGGGATGGGACGGCAGAGGTGGGAGGGTCAGATCCTGACGATCGGGAACGCGAGGCCTAGTCTGGGGTCGGGCTATGTTATAAATCCCTCCGCCGCCGGGATGAAAAAGCATTCACACAACCGCCAAAAATTCAGAAATCCGTGGGCAGAGGCCTGGGCGCGCCCCGCTGACTCCAGGGTAGGGGCGCGGCCTGCCGGGGCGCATGCGCAATCCGATAACTGCAGTCCTGGGGCTAGTGGTTGCCAGTGCAGAGGTTCCGGAATGGGAGGGTTCCCGCTTTTTATTTAAAATCGTACTTAAAATGTTCTCTTCAATTATATTTAAATGCCTGTAATCTCAGCCCTCTAAACAGCTGAGGCAGGAGGATTGCACAGTCGAGCCTGCCTGGGCAGTTTAGTAAATTAAGAAGACCCTGTCTGGAAAAGTTAAAGCGATCGCTTCCGCAGCACATATGCAAAAAGTTTAAAAAGGGTGCGCGCGGCGGGTGGAGGGTGACTGCTCGGTGAAGGCCCTGGGTAGAAACTCCAGTACCATAAATAAATGAATGAATTAGTTGTAAAGGTAATTTCTGTACATGCTGAGTTAATTTAAGTAACCAAAGAGGTAGACAATAAAAGAGTGAGAATGAGCTTCTCCCTCGGTCTCTGTTTTCTATTCCTAAAGCATTGGTTCCCAGTTTCTTTCTGGAGCTGTTGTTACAGCAAAGCATTGGAGTTTAGAGCATAAAAAGCCTCAGACCTTGGCCGCACTCCTTAATGCTCTCTGCCTCTACGTCCCCATTTGTGAAATGGGGATGGTGGCACCTTATAGCCTTGTTGTCAGGGTTAGATGGGTGGAAGTTCCTGCTGCGTATTAGCACTGTAATTATATTGCGGTCTGTGATGATGACCGTGGTTGATTCTGAGTTGCTTTCTCCCTGTCCTCATCCTTGCTGCTGCACCAGGAGCCTCCAGCCATCATCCTAAACCTGAGGTCACTTTGATGGCAGGTAGAACCGTTTCTCTAGGCTGCCCCAGGCTGGGTGAAAACGCCAGTTGACACAGCCGTGTCACAGGGACTGCTGTGGGGATGGAGGACAGGCAGAATCCTGGGCCCTTACGAGCTGTTTATTAAAAGCACGATTTGTAGTTTCCTCTGGCACAGCCAGAGACTTACAAGCCAATTTTGCTATGAACCATGACTCTTCATTTGGGCCCGTTAGGTAACTAAAAGCAGAACCATGTTTGACTTGCATCTTGTATCCTTTGTTACTAGAAATGTGGGTCAGTCTCTTCTCAGCTCTGCATAGCGATATGTTGATCATTTAGAGAGTGTCCATGTAGGAGCTGGCTTGACAGGGTTGATCCAGCCCTGAACTTACAAGACTTCACCCCTCTTCAAAACTGAGGACACCAAGATAAGAGTTTACCTAGACATTCAGTGACACCCAGGGGCCTCCAGCCATCAACCTGAGATCACTTAGATACCAAGAAAGGTCTCCCTAGATGACAGAGACCACCACAGACAATCATTTCCTGGTAACAAAACCATCCCTCAGCCATAAAGATTCCAGATCTGTGACACCAGGACTGAGATGGTAATAAGCCTGTCCCCATTGAATCCTTCAAAGCTGCCCTTACAGGTGGCCGCAGCTGAAGCCACGTCAGAGTGTGCTCCCTCCAGCCACCCCCTCCTTTCCTGTCTTCCCTCTCCCATTACAATTAAATTTTTTCCAAGGGCCAGGGATTTAGCTCAGTGGTTCTGCAGCCTGCCTCACAAGCACAAGGTCCTGAGTTCCACCCCCACTACCAAAAAAAAAAAAAAAA